AATCTTTCAAATGCGACTATAGCTTTTTTTCTCCCAAACTTTGTCTTCAAAATAAGGGTGCGTCTTCTATTCCGAAAAATACGGTACTTTTGACTTTTAGAAGTTAAAATACTATTTGTCAGTCCGAATATTGAGATTTTACCATCACTATTATAACATACTCATGTTCCCAGTGCTAATTACATTTTTGTAGTAACGGAGCGCGAACCATGAATCCTCAGGTTCATAGTCCTGAATGTTAATCACTCGGCCACATCCGATTCTCGTTGTCATTGCAGGTTCTAAGTTGATGGTAACAGAAAAGTTACTTGTGATATCACAGAAGATCCCACTATAAAAATATATTAAATAAAACAGCTGAAAGTGAGTATAGCACTCATTGTTTAAAGGATAGTGAAACTTTCAGACCACACGTGTCCACTTTTAGGTACAAATATTTAAAGTGAAAACATCAAACACTAACTTAAATAGAATAAAAAGTTAACTCAACATGCACATGGTTTCAAAGTTTATTGAAACAAATGAAACCCTGTGCACATAGGCTACGTGTGAGGTCGAAACGTTTTATTTTCATTGAAAAATTACTTGTATGACCGTTTGTAAATAAACGATTTATTACACTGTGTATATTGTATTCAAAACCCAATAGAAGTCCACCAATATCGTTGCTTTATTGGTGATGCACGTGTATTACAACACCGGAGAAAAATTCCATTACCATCCCCAGATGGGGTAAAAATTTCCAATATAATTTTGCTAAGCGCACTGGGAATAGCACAAAGCAACAGCAGTTCCTGGCACAAACTCAAGGCCAAAACAAATAAACGTTGAGGTTCAAGTACATTGACAAACTGTATGTTTACGATACTACGAAATTCGTATTAACGTAAATAAAATTCTAAAAATAAAATATCAAAATGATGTGGAATTAAAGGATTTTGGTAAAAAATACTGGAGCCTTTCTGTCTCTCTTTCTCTCTCTATATATATATACATCTGGAAAAAAGTTAAGCACCCCCAAATATTTTCAGGATTGCTTATTGAAAATAAG